CTCCACGGGAGACATGCTGTATGAATTGAGAATGTCTTTCTCCAGTCCAAAAAGCGTACAGGCGCCCAGATCGTCTGTAAGCGAAAAAAACGATCCAGATGGCGAAAAATGGCCATCTAAAAATCGGCGGCCATCGTACTCGTATTCTAAATGAAATCAACAAATGGTGGGGTACCAAAAATGACGTTCCCTGTTGAGACGTCCCAAAGAAAGGCCTTTCCCCCAATGCACGCAGACAGTATAATGTTTTCGGCATATGGGTGCCCCGTTAAGATGTAAATTTCATCCGAATGCCTGCTAAATGTATTGATGATCGAGCCCTCAAATGGGTTCCATATCTAAAGTTAAGGCCAACCCAAACCCTAATGATATTGTCCGTTGATGCCGTCAAAATGAAATTGTCATTGACCGTCCAAAACACATTGGTTACTTTCAAGTGGATATTTTCGTGCGATTTGTCTAAATGGCCATCAACCGATACTACAGGGAAGCGACAAAAACTTACGAGTCAATGTGTCCCAGCATTTGGTGTCAAAATTGAACGACCTAATGCGAGCCGTACCGTCCCATGATCTAGGAGACGACAGTTATTTTGTAAAAACAAACCCGCTCAAAATCGGGCCGTCCGAGCCGCAAGCAATGGACGTGATGTAGCCAAGATGGTCATCAAATGCCACCAATATGTGGTCAAGGCTATTTTTTTCCATTTGAGGTCGCGAAACAAGCGAAACCGGAGATATCGACTTTGATTCTCTACTACCTCTGCTGGCAGAGGTGGCCACCTGTTGGCCGTCAGAGTCAACTTCCAAGCTCGAAGACAAATGGCCATATTCGCTTTCGTCGTCGACAATATATATGAAGCCTTCGTGCTCAGAACTTGGGACCTTGTATACGCGAAGAAGGCCGTCAGTCCCTCCAACGATAAATCGAGCGCCTCCAAGCGAGAAGGCGGCACATTTGATTTGGTCTCACATGATAGTCTTACAATAAAAGGGCATCACCTTCACAGAGGAAATATTGTAACCATCACCACAGAGGGTCAAGTTCCAAATCTTACAAATGCCATCGTTTCCAGAAGAAAGAAGAAACGGATATCCCTCGTAAAACAGCGGATGAAATTCAATTGTGGACACTTCGGAATTCTAGAACTCAAATGAAAGGGCGTACGTTCAATAGCGTCCGCAAAATAGTCCCATCGTGGAGCTTCCAGATTTTAATGGTGCCATCTAGCGAAGCAGAGGCTAAAAGCACATTTCGGCTGCAAATTGAAATGTCGGAAATGCAATTCTAAAATTTAGGGTTAGAATTGGAATGTACTGAATGGCCCCTCAAAGATTGCAATAAAATTGATGTCTTCAAACACCAAAGTTTAATCAAACCATCGTCAGAACCCTAAATAAAAAATAAAATGGCCGAAAAATTAATACAGTGACAAAGACGTTCTCGTTCCGATCAAAAGATAGGCAGTAAATGGGCTGGCAATGCCCCTGAACCGTTTTTAATTCGTGGAATTTGCATCGTTTGTATATTGCCTCATTAATTTGAACACTTTCCACATCACGGCTGTCGATTTGTCTGTACAAGTTGAGGAAATCTAATAAAGATCGGAATCATATATCTTACTTAGGGATGAGTTATTGCTTCTCGGTGCATCACATGCATCAGAGGATTGCAAATTGGGGGCACAAGAAGGGGAAAGTAATTCGTAATTGCTGGCATTGGGGTCGACCAGAGATGGCGTCTGCGCAAATTCGAGAAATTTTTTTCGTCTTTTTGTGCACTTTTGGCCATCTTCTGGCTGGATGGGAAAGTGCAATAGCCTCTTCGTCCAAAAGGCAACCATTCTGAGAAGATAATCATCGGGGATATTGGCATATTTCAATTTCTAGTGAGAAACTTGGATCAACACCATTCATACCATGTCCTCCAGGCTGGCTATTCTTGCACATCCTTTCCAAGTCAATCCTGCATAAAACGACTTGCCACACCCGGTTGCATGCCCATCATTTTCTGAATGCGAATTTGAACCAAAAGCTTTCGTGTATTTGTAGATGAGAAACTCGAGCTCTCCTTTAATCGAATTCGCATCTTGAGCAGATGCCGTTTTTACCCTATCATCCAAGTTGGCAATATTGACATGATTTTTTGGAATTCCATTTTGAGTTTCCATTTGGTTGTCTCTATAAATTTTAAATACCAAAAATGCAGCAAAATTTTAATTTAATGGACGACTTGAACCAAGAAATCGATGTCAGCCATGCGGAGAGGAGGATATGGCTGGTTAAAGTTTGAAAATGCTCCATGTTCATTCCAATAGTTGCCCGACTTTCTCTATACACATTGGAGCGCACAGCAGACAGATGATGTCGAGCTTGGCTCCGTCAGAATATACGAGCAGACTTCCGGGTCTCCTACCAGGGTACCTTTGCGATACCAGCTGGCTAACGCATAGGTTACGTTTCACCTTTCAAGCAATTCTCACACGGCACACCTGCCTCAAGAATATGATATGGTGTTTCTAAAGCAATCAAAGGCCAATAATATTTTCTCGGAAGAACAAAACAGTAACAAAGTGGACTTAATTTCCAAGGTGCCATTGCAATTGAGGGCAAAATCGAGCATGAATGTCATCTTCGGCCCTCAAGTGTTAATCAAGCATACAGAGATGTCATCAAGGCTCGAAACCTGCACTTTAACAAGCCAAAACGCACCCTTCAGCTGATAGACTCCATAAAAGAGGGCGTTGGTGCATCTTTTATGAGGCCTTTGCCCCAATCCGTTGTGCTCACCGGTGTACGTTTGTAGCCTTGTTATTTCTTTGTAGGGACGGCGAAAAATCCCTGTTGAGCTTCGAAGGGAAAGGCTGCCCAAAGAAGCCCTGCTGGACTTTTTATTTACAGCGTTTGAAAAATTCAAATACTGGAATTTCAAAGACATTTTAGAGTACACCAAGCAGCCATCAGTTTGAATTTGCATGCATTACCTCTCCAATAGAATTACTTGAAAGAAGTGCTTGCCGAAATATGCGACCTCAATAAACGCGGCGACTTTAAGGGTTGCTATCAATTGAAGGCAGAATATTTGAATGCAAACAGATCGGGAGCTGCCACGGCAATTGCGCCATCGATTTCACGGCCCATTGCTTCCGAAAGCACTGGCGCGGCAACGGGCCATCCAGAGCACGAAATGGCCGACGAAGACTACGACGACGAGGGAGAAGAAGACGAGGACACGGATCCCGATGACATTGAGATGGAAGATGTTACTCCCTATTAAATTTATTACGCAAACTCCAAAATCAGCCCGTCAAACGCCATATGGAAGCTTATTTTGGACAAGATTGGAGATGCCAAAATCCGGGGGTGGTTGGCAAAAAAATCTTTCGACAACCGGTAGTCCCATGTGTGCGTAGTGCCGACAATATAAACGATTTCGGGACGCAGGATGCTTGCCAAATCCAAAACCTGATCAAAGCAAAAATGGCTTGAATACGACCCAAATGGATACAGAGAGTCAATTATCAACAACGAGACCTTTTTGGACTTTAGAAAGTCCATCGACTCTGTTGGAAACTCGCTCACGTCTGAAATGTAAGCAATGGTGTCAAAATAAAATCCCAAAGACATGAATGGCCTATTGAGCTTATCGGGCTCAGAATAAACCCCGTGCTGGACTAAAAATATCGGAATAACTGCATACCTGGAATGGTATGGATAGAGAACGGGCTGTCTTGATCTTTTGTGGGAAACTTGAGCACGGTTTGCAGCGAGGGCTCAAAAACGTGGAACTTTGTTTGCGAGACAGACCCTCCGCCCGTTGCAAATGACGTATCGACAAGGTACGGAAAGACGGACTGGATGGCGGGAAAGGATACCGAATCCACATAAATGTCGATGTGCGATTGGATCCGTGATTTAGACGTCCAATGCCTCAAGTCGTCCAGCCCATAAAACGCATCTGCATGTGCGTGGCTTAAAATTATGGCGGAAAGAGCAAAGTCCTTGGGACACAATAGCTTTAGCTCGGCAAAGGCCGGGATGATTGTGTTGCACGTGGAATCGTAAAAGGTCAAGATTTTAGAATGTGCATGCAACCTACCTTGCCACAGTCAATCAGTATGTTTCTTAGTGCTGCATGGGGGTCTGCAATGTCCATTGAATATCTATTTTATGAGCAGGTTTGCATACCTAAGCATTACACTGGTGTTCTTCCTTCGGTTCTTTGAAAACGGGACAATGGCATCTGTACATACGGAGCAAGATTTATCCGAGGTCATGCCCTCCATCAAGCATGTGAGATCGGGAACCGAACAAGAGGCACCTATTGGTTGGTGGGAAGCTTTCGTAAAATTACCGGTTCCAACAAACAATAGTTGCTTTATGTGTCGAAGTGTGTTGTTTCCTTTGAAATATATTCTCAAGAGCTCAATTTTAGACGAAGCATGTGTCATAATCGAGTCACTTGGCCAAGATTTATCCGAGGTTTATTTATTAAATTGCACCAAATTTAATTTAAGCCAAGCCAACCTCCCCCCACGTATGTCGATGTGGGAGTCTGACGGAGTTATCGACGCAGCCGATTGCGGGGATCGGTCTTCCAGCATCTCTCCTGTTGAAATGGTCCCCACAGATGCGGTAGAAACCGATTTTGATCCCTTCGGCACAGACACGGAAGAAAAGTTCATTTCCATTCTCAAAACCATTGTACCCTCTTTTAGGGAATTTGACTATCCCCACACATACGACAGCATCAAAAATCTGGATTTTTCCTTCCATGAATATCAGCCAAGTGTTGACAGTGAGGATGAATATCATAATCTTCTCCTCAAACTATACTCCATCAACAAATCGATGCAAGAGCGGCTTTTGATAATTTTTTCCAACATCCAACAAAACCTCAAAAAGATCTCTGAACATCAGGTAGCCATTCTTTTTAACCTTAGAATCATTTATCCTCATTGTTTATGAAGAGACACAGTCGAGCAATCAGGAGGTATTCATCGGCGTCAAAACAAAGCGGGCACACTCAGTCGGCCATGCAGGCTTTGCCGCTCTGCTCGCGCGGTAGATATTTTCAGGATTATGGTGGCGAGTGCCCGACTCTGTCAAATTGCTTCGACGACATATTGTTGATGAATCATCTGTATTCGCTGTATCCACGGCACGTCAAAGCGATGCGGTGGACCCCTTTGCAAAGAGTTGCCCTGTCGCGGGCCATTCAAACGCAAAACCAACAATTACTTTTGGATACCATTTATGAGCGGTAAGACACTGCTTTCATCATAGATTCAAAACCGAGTTTCGACAATTGGAGTTCGATGGGGCATCGTCAAACTTTGATTGCAATGATGTCTCCGGCGCGGATATGCAGCGTCGACTCTCGCCTAGCCCAAACCATAGGGCGTTTTCTTCATTCCGTGAAATCATCAACAGCATCCAACTTTTGCCGGAAAAGAATCTAAAGATAAATACCCACGGGCTGGACTGGATTAAAATCTCCGAGTGTTTGATGAATGTAAAATCCCCTGAAGAATGCCTTATCCAATGGATTTTCCACGATCACCCGCTTATAAATAACCGCCCTTGGAATAAAGACGAGCTAGATCGTCTGTCGGAAACCATACTTTCGATTAAGGAAGCGCCAACGGCCGAGCCCGTTCACACCCATGCCAATAGCCTTATGTTGGTTGATGCAAATTCTTTGAAAGATGTTCTCGGAAAACACCGATGGCAAATCATTGCAGAGAAGCATGGAAACCACAGGACGGAAATATGCTGCTTCATTCAGTATCAAAGATTCATAAACAATTCTCATTTAAGAGAGTAAGGATATTTGAATTGACTGCTAACAATAGACGCTGGACTCCACATGAAGATATGCTATTAAAAAAAGCCGTTCAGTATTTTGGCACCAAAAATTGGCAAGCCGTCTCGGGATGTCTCGAGGGGCGCTCAGGCCAACAATGCCTGCATCGCTGGCTCAAAAGTCTCGATCCAAAAATACATCGAGGAAAGTGGACCCCAGCAGAAGACGAGTGCTTGCGGAAAGCGGTTCGAATTTACGGCGTTGCAAAATGGTCCCAAGTGCAGCAAATGGTTCCAGGGCGAACAGATGTGCAATGTCGTGAAAGATGGTCAAATATTCTGGATCCCTCTTTAAACTTGGGCAAATGGTCTGCTGAAGTAAGCCTTTTTGAGCCTCTTATTTGTAGGAAACATCCAGGCTAAAGGATTTGGTGATGATGTTCGGGCTTGGGAAATGGTCATTGGTTGCATCCCATTTGCCTAATAGGACCGACAATCAGGTATCAATCCATGCCGTGCCATAATAATTACCATAGTGCTCAAGACGATGGAGGCAAATATCAAAGAAAGAAGACATTGTTATTCCATCTACCATTTCCCTAAACGAGCCTGCAGAGACGAACGAAGTTTTTGAGGCCCAAAAAACCTACCTTCATGCGGCTGCCTCTACTGCTGCTTTGGCAGATGTTTCTTCACAACGCAGCAATTTATATTTTGCACACTCGCAGCTTCTTGCACAACAGGCTCGGTTGCCTAAAGGGCGGCTTAAAAAGCTCAAATCGCTGCTGTTGGTCGATGACTTAAAGCCAAGCAACATTGACTCATCCAAGCAGGCCTGTTCGCGCGAGCCCAAAATTATGGAACCTCTTCTCCCTATTTCCCTTGAGCCCCACAATACTAAAGCATTATCTAGACTTCTTTATAGATTATTTCCGAACGAAAATGAAGTTGATCTTTCAAACAGTATAGAGCTCTCCGAGTCCTCTTTCAGTGAATCATACAACTTTGTCATGTCGGCAGAATACACCGACTTGTATCGACGGTTTGAATGCTTATTTGTTTGGCCATATTTGCTTGGACTGTTGCCTTCAGACTAGAGCCACGTGTATAGCACAATGATTCCTAATGGTCATGCCAAGTTTCTATTGGTATACCCATCGAGCACCGTTGATTTGCATTAGAAATCCATAAATCTGCATCTGAAAACCCCCGAACATTAGCAACTAAATGTGTGCCCAAAGTCGCCTTGTCGTGTAAGCGGCGTGTGCAGCCTCTTTGTGTTCGTTTGCATTGAAATAAATAGCACTGTAAATTTTAGACGGCCAATTTTTTAAATTTAATAGCATGTCTTGGAATATTGATGAGCTTGATGCATTACTAGAAGCTCCATTCCAGGAAAAGCAGCTGTCATCAAATGACAAGGTACGCACAAGGAAGCGATTGATTATTTTTAGAACCAAAAGCTATCTGGAGACACGACCAGAAGCTCTTCTCCTTCTCCATCCAAAGGAAAAAGTAGATATCAGGATGATGACTATTTTAGGTCTCCCAGGCCATCATCATCTACCTCCTCATCGTCAAAGAGAGACTATTCACGAGAAAGACCTTCTGCTTCAAAGGAGAGGACTTCTGACCCATATTCTAGAAGAAGAAGACGTTCTAGATCTCGCTCACGCTGTCGAGTAGAAACCGCTAAAAGAGATGATCCCCCCAGCGGAGCCATTCGCAAACGAGCTCGATCTCCCTCTCCCGAGCTTACAGAAGGCGAACGAGATCGAAGAACTGTATTTGTGCAGCAACTTGCTGTGCGTCTGCGCGAAACCGAGCTCCGTGAATTCTTCAGTAAGGTTGGAAAAGTCCGCCAAGTCAAAATTGTGTCGGATAGAATCACTGGGCGATCCAAAGGGTAAGTAAAATCTTCCATTTTGGCTCTGCGTCTCGGAAGGTTGGTTTCTAATGCATGTAGCTTTGGGTACGTCGAGTTCAGAGACGAGCCTTCGGTTCCTTTGGCAATTCTGCTTTCAGGACATAAATTATTGGGTATTTGCTGTGCCTTCTTACATTAGGTATCCCCATTTTGGTTTCAAATACGGAAACAGAGAAAAACAGGCTTGCCGAAGAGGCCGCAGCCATGTGTTCATCTCGCTCATCCTCCGAGTCGGCAAGGACAATTCTACCACCGCCCACTCAGAATCAGCCTGCTGCATCTTCAGCTGCCTCGAGAGCAGAAAAAAAAGGCCCCGCCTCGCAGTTCAAGAGGCTGTTTATCTCATCCATCCATCCAGATGTGGACGAGCATATGTTGACGCCAATATTTTCTGCCTATGGCCGAATAGACAATCTTTCTTTGCTGGTCGATCCGGTCTCCAAAAGGTCCAAGGGCGCTGCCGTTGTTTCTTTCCGTGATCATGTCGATGCCAAAAAGGCCATTGAGCAGCTAGATGGGGTTGAGATTGCCGGTAAAGCTGTATGTTTACATGTCTCGCTTACCTACTTAGATCAAAATCACCGTCGCCTCCGATGCCCAAATGAGGGCGTTGGCAGATGATTCGGAAGCCACGGTGGCTCTCTCGATGACGCCTCAAGCGCGTGCCGAATTGATGATGAGATTATCACGGGATTCCGACCTTTCGACATCCACTCATTTGACGCAAAATTACTTTAAAGAAAACCCCGTGTTTTACATCTTGCTTTCTAACCTTTACGACCCGATTGCAGAATCATCCAGCTCGGCAACCTGGAAAGCCGATCTTGCCGATGATATTCACGATGAGTGCTCAAAGTTTGGAGCGCTCGTTGGGCGTCCCGTCGTGCTTGGAAATACGCAAGGAGAAGTTCTGCTTCAATATTCCGACCTTGCAGCGTCTCAATTGGCCGTTGCTGCGTTGCAAGGCAGATGGTTTGGCGGCCGCCAAATCCGCGCATCCGTTATTTCTTCACAAACGTACCAGCAAAAAATGGCGTCCTCAAAATAGCGCTTTGTTAGTCTTTGGCGCCACCATCACTCCCCCCCCCTCCTTTTTTGTTGGTACCCCAAACCATCACAACAACAACATGACTGCGATCATTTTGAATTAAAACCCCAATAAACCAAGCCGTTATAAATTGCCAATTTATTCGCCATCATAAATGGGGTCATCCTTTGAGTAGTGGCCGCTCGCTTCATGTTCTTCGTCGCTGTCGAAAAGGGCAAGATCTTCGTTCAATAGATTTTGCACCTTTTCCCTGATTTCAGATGGCGGCCTTGCTCTAAGCTTGCGGTGTATCTCCTCGTAATATCCCCGTTTCATGTCGGACTCATGGGTCTTTATCCACTCTTTAAGTATGGTCTACACGTATGTCAAAATATATGGCTACAATTTCGGGCTCTGTCCATGGGGTTTTCTTCATCAACCCCGGAGGCCTGCCCCTTCCTCTGGCAACACGCGTAAAAATCGAGAGATTCCTAGAACTGCGAACATCATGCCCAACAATGATACCTTTTCTTTTTGCTCGGCTTTTGCCTAACGGGAGCGTATCCTATCTGTTTTGGCTTAACCGCCGGAAATGTTTTCTTCATCGAAGAATCATCGAGTCGATATTTTGCCAAATTTTCCCTCATTTTCTTTAATTCGAGCACCGAATGGGAAGGCTCAAAACGCCCCGTAATATCCAAGACGCAGCTCCAACTTTTAGGTACTTCCTATGATTAGCGAAAAAAGGTACAAGATCTTTCTTAAAAGACTCCTGGAGCTGGGAAATTTGGGCCAATAACTCTTCAACGGCCGTGTTTGCATCTGAGGATGGCGAAATGGGAGAGCTTGCGGAGACTCTATTTCTTTTCAACAAAGTTGACGTCAAGGAGCTCTTAAGATGTATGTTTCTATACTTTTGCAAGTCAAGTTCTGGGACCATAGATATAGATTGAAGGGTTGGGATCTAGCCAGGGTTGATGACCGCACCATACCTCTTTGCGCTTTTGCAGCGTCTTTATGAAGAATTCGGGATATTCCATGGCCTCTTCCTTGAGATGCCGAAGATCCTCGATGTCTTGATCGCATTGGTGCAGCTGATGCTTATAAACCTGAAGATGGGAATGCAGCAATGAGTAGCTACAAGATGAAGGCGACAATATTACTCGGCGTTTTTAAACAAGTCAACTATCTGCGTGCATTCCGCATCTGCATGCGCGTCCGTGGCACCAGGCTTTGCCGTGTTCTCGACCTCCATCACATTTAATTTAAACAATTGCAAGTTGAGGATGGGACTAAATTTGAGGCAAAATGAAAATTTTTTGCAATGTCCAATTCAGGCGTAAACTCCAGTGCGGAGCAAGACCCGGCCGCCCATATGCTGTCTTCTGCGATGGACGTCGTCAGCAATACGCGAATCAACATCGAACTGCTAAAGGAACACAACAAACACCTGTTGGAATTCGCCCAAACGTCAGACAACCGATTTGACGCCGTGCCCTCAGCGATCACCAACATAATCGACGTAAATGCCGTGACAGACTGGAACGAGGTGTCTCAAAAGTGGCTGAAGATGAATGAAGACCTTGCCATAACCAAGGAAAACATCGAGAAAATGTTGTTTACCATCAACTGTACAGATCAGCTACTACAACGGTGGCTTCAAATCTTTGAACGGACAATTCAAAAATAAAACATCCGCTCAATCTTTGCGGGAGAAACATGGCATTTTATGGATGCTTTGTTGCCCCGTTTGTTGGCCCTTTGCAGCCGGTCGGGCAGATAAATTTTAAATTGTGCACGGACCTCGGCCCTTTACGGACCATCAAATCATTTACGCTTTTAATATTTTTTAATGTTGAGCTCCTCGCCTGCCTTTGCATGCAACAGGATGGACGAGACGCCAGATGCCGCCTTTGCACAGCATCTTTGTGTTGAAAATCGCATATGCTCGCTTTTAAATTTTCTTATTTCCCAATATGTTTCCAGCTCGATGTCATCTGCAGCCAAAGAGTCTCTACTGGACTATTCCAAGTTGCTTTTGATGAGGTTGTTCCATGTTTGTTTTAAAGTTTAGCTCGATATCCCCAGCAGCGTACCCAAGAGATCGCCCGGAAATTTTGATAGAAATCGTGAGAAAGAGAAGTAGCCAACCATGCTTTTATGTTTGTAGTATCGCTTGAAGACTTGTCTGGCGAAAGAGGTGCTTTGTTTGTGCAAATTTGTACCAAGCTCTACCAGCAGGTATTTTGTTGCCGTATATTTAGCCGTACTTTAAAAACACGTGGGATATTATCTATTTCCTCGGACAGGTCTCACTCAATCGCCAAATGATGGCAAAAATGGACAGGTCTTTCTATTTCTCCCCGATCATGAAGATTTTAAACAATTCTGAAAGTCAAAATGATGCCAGGAGCCTTTCGGCCACTTTGGGGAGAGACCTTCCAGGTAATGCTGGTCCCATGAAACAGCCGGCCGGGTCCTTTTGCGATTATAAAAGCTACAGTTTGTCTAAAAGTACCAATTGCGTGTCTAAAGTATAGACAGCATTGCAGAGGACCTCATGATTAAGCATTTGCTTTTGGCCTTTCAAGGGATCGACAGCAGCACTTTTCATTTTGATGCAAAAAAACACTCCTACGCCATCGATGATTCGGTTCAGTGCACGTTGGCCACCAAGGAGCTGGTGACAAATCTTCTTGTCGGTGCGTCTGCTATCCGATCTTTACAAAATTGCATTGGCATTTGTTCTGCATCTTGTTCACCTTCCCTGCTGTTAAAGGTATTGTGATGGCCATTTTTTGCATTGTAGAGCTTTCAAGCCTGGGTCCAAGCCTTCATCAAGGACACGATGAGGAGCATTGCCACGATTGCAATGCTTGACAATCAGACACTTAGATCGCTGCTTTTCCACCTTAATAAGGAAATATACACATCCCAATTCATCTGCTCATTGTTGCGGGTGACAAGTGGCGAGACCGAGATATCTGGCAACAAATTCATGTCCATGCTGTGGAAGATGAAATTTTGCACAGCAAATCCGGTGGGCCAGCTATTGCTTCAAGACCTGCTTTCATTTGTACTTTTCCATTTTAAGTGTAGATGATTAAACCTTGGCTTGGCTTCGTTTATAACTGGATGTCTAACGGTGGCATCCTAAGCCTAGATGATGGCGACGATTTTTTCATCTCCGAAAATGCCGATGTGCATTTTGAGGACGATACTTCATGGACTTTCAAATACGTGCTTTCAGATGACCTTCCCGAATTTGTTTCTCTAGACGATGCCAAAAGAGTGACCTGCTGCCATTTATTGTAGGTTTTGGCGATTGGGAAGATCGAAGCATTCATTCGCCATTTTGAACTTTTGCCAAAGCAGGAAAACGGCAAAGCTAAACAAGATCATGACGCCCTTGGTACTTTCGGTGCATTTTCCGGTATCGTGATTTCATATAATTGACCAGAAAACGTGGGAAGCAATTTTGATCGCTTTTCATGTGTTGTTCAAAAAATATACACCGAAAGGTCTCGCCTTTTATTCAGGCTGTTTTTTCCCACCACCGTGGCATCCATGCAACGTGCAAATGGAGATTCATTTTGGAGCCATATCCTGTTTTTGAAAAAGGTGTTTTTTTGCGAACGAGGAGATTTTTGCAAGGCATTGATAACTTCGCTGGCATCTGAGCTTGTCAAGCCCAGCGTGCAAGTTTATAGACACAATCTGGTTGGCTCTATCGACTCGATTATCAACGAGTTTCTTTGTCCATACGACCCTTCGTGGCTTACCGGGCGTTTGGACGTTCGTCTTTTAAAGGTACCCCGTTGGTGCTCATGGTTTTCCCCTAGTCCGGCAATTCGCAATCGCAAACGGGATGGGAATCATTTACCCTTGATTACCAGGTCGATTCTCCTCTCAATCTGGTGCTTACCGGGTCCATCATGAACTTGTACGTCAAAGTGTTTAGATTCAATTGGCGTTTGAATCGATGCGAGCATATTCTCACAGAGTCCTGGAAGGCATGGTTTTCCCTATTTCGGAAGATTAATTCGAGCAGGCACGACAATGTGCTTCTATTGCCGCCATTTTCTCCGCTGGTTTTCAACAGGGTTTGTACCATGATAACTGGGATGCTTTCTTTCATTCGGCAAATTTTATTTTTCATCCAAATCTTCACCATCGGAGGCGCCTGGGATCAGTTCGATGGTGCCTTGCCTTTTTGCAAAACATTTGATGATGTTTTGGGGGCCCATTCTGCCTTTATTTCCAAAGTAGCTGTTACGGGCGTGTTCTCAACCTCTGCGGAAGGGGGGTCTTCCCCGCTTCGGTATGTCCAACAAAAGCTTTACCAACTGCTCCATCTGATATTGGTATTCGTCCGCATCCAGGTAAAATGCTGTTTCGTTTAATTTAGGCGGCACTATATGACTCCATTGTACAGAAGCACCTTCTTACGGATTCTATTATCAACACGATGGAGGAAAGAACCAGAAAGGGTCTTTGGTCCATTTCCACCGACGATGAGATTGGAATTATTTCCGAAAATAATTCCATCAATCAGAGCCAGGACGAGATTTTGGCGCATTTACAGCGCCTATGGCTCCAATTTACATTTGAAATGGAAAACTTTAACCACCTGTTGCTGGATGTGTCCAATGAAAAGAACCACATCCGGCCTCTTCAAAGTTTGCTTTTCAAATAAAATAGATAAATGCGATGTGCATCGGAAGCGTATAGTTCCATCCCAAATGTGGCTGAATCCTGCAAATCTCCTGAAAAACTCGATCACAACAGCCGGCACAAGCGGCAGCAAAAGGTCAATATGCGCTGAAATACGGACAGCATGCTACTAGGGTTAGGGGCAGGCACAACTGGGTAAACAACAATGGCCTGTTTGCAGTGCTAAGCGTTTAAAATTTAAAGCAAATAAATAATTGTAAAAAGGTTGCATTTTATTAAAAATGGGAAAACTTCGTAAAAAGGTACGCCTCATTAGTGTGCTCTTACATTTTAGAATACGTCTGGAACCGTAAAGACCTACATTAACCGCAATCAGGCAATCAAAGTCTTACAAGTGACCTTGCGTGACTTTAGACGAATGTGCATTTTGAAGGGCATATATCCTCGAGATCCAAAGCACAAGTCAAAACTGGCCGCCGGATCGTCTTCACTTAACAAAACTTACTACCACATGAAGGACATTAAACATTTGGTCAACGATCCTCTTCTTTCTACCCTAAGAAAGTCCAAGATTTTCCGAAAGAAAATTCGCCACTTCCATGCGCGTGGCGAGTGGGAAACGGCCCGCCGCTATGAACGCCTACACAAGCCCGATATCCCGTTTTCAGATATTATAAGGTCAAGATATCCTACCTTCATCGATGCGCTAAAAGACTTGGACGATGCTTTGACCCATGTTGCTCTGTTTGCATCTCTCCCCCAAAATGCAGTGACATTCCTTGATGCATCGATTTTGAGATCTTGCTACAGGCTCCTTGGGGAGTTTAGCCGATACGTGATGGAGACACATTCGCTGAGAAAGGTTTTCATCTCCATCAAGGGAACCTATCTGCAAGCCGAGATTCATGGCGAAACCATCACATGGGTCGTTCCGCACGCCTTCACACTGGAAATACCCAGAGATGTCGACATTAAAGTAATGGCGACTTTTCTTGAGCTTTACCATTCCTTTGTCTCGTTTGTTAACTTCAAGTTATTAAAAGAAATTGGCTGGGGATATCCCACCACAATCGCTGACGAGGATTGTGACTCCAACTCGTCCACTGGATTTCTGTCAATCTCAAATCCCCATGCAAAGGGATCGATCGCGGAGACCAATTTTCCCGCCATGTCCCCGAAATTGTCTGAAGACATTATCGATCAGTTCCACGAGACCGACCAGGTAGAAGATGGCGAGCAACCCAAAGCCGCATCAACCAATGAAGAATCGATAGCGACATCTCTGATTCACCAAAGTGAAGAGAAAAAAATTCTGTCCACCTTATTTTCAAATTTTGTCTTTTTTCTGTCAAGAGAAGTGCCTTTTGACGTGCTGGTTTTGTGTGTCGCATCTTTTGGCGGCAGGGTTGGATGGAATCATGGCCCGGGCTCGCCATTTGCAGAAAACGATACCAGAATCACGCACCATGTCGTTGATCGCCCCGTGTTGACGAACATGTTTGGCGGACGTAAATATGTCCAGCCGCAGTGGATCTTTGACTCGATCAACTCCAAAAAGCTGCTGTCAGAGGATCTCTATGGTCCCACCGTGACAAGCCTGCCACCCCATTTATCGCCATTTGCCGACGCCTCTGGCAATGACGATGAAAACGAGCAAGATCAGGATGCCGTTGCTAGAGCATATCGAGAGGCCGATGAGAGTGACAAGGAGGAAGATCAGTCTCATGAATTGGCGCTTTCGATGATGAGCAAGAAAAAGAAAAAGCTTTACGAGGCCATGCAAAGAGGAATTCGCAACAAAAAGACCGAAAACGATCGCCTCTCCGCTCGTCGTCGGCAAATTGCCGGTGGGAACCCCCCACCATGTTAAGTTATTTTAATTTGAAAGCTCATTAAATTTTATTTGTTACAAACAATTCAGAAGGTAGTACTTGTAGTCCTTGTCCGAGGGGACGTTGTGAAGAAGCCTGTCAATGTTGTGATCAAACAGATGAGAAGCTGGCGCTTCCGTTGGTGACGAATGAATTTTGTTTTCCGCCAAAAGACCGGCCCATGCATTACAAATATCGATCGGAATGGGATCCAAGTGCTCGGGCTCCTCATAATTATGGGATAGCTCCAAATCCTGGATTGCCCCTTTAATTGATCTCTTTATCTGATAAATGTAATCGCTATAGCTATCCACATTTATGGCTGCTTGTAGGCTACAGGGTATATCAACGCCAAGATATTCAAGCACCCCCAATGTTTTGGCATACTCGATCTTGGAGCTGCCCTGGCGAACCTCCTCCTCGTTTTCTTTAGATGCGAGAAGCGGATAGAACGCCGAAAACAGTTGATAGAAAAACAAAATCTTTGGAACGGCTTTAGGTCCGCCAATGGCCTCAATGATATCCTTCAGTAGATTTAAAAATGGCGAAAGTAAGCACAGCTCAGAAATAGGCGGTCGAATGGTAGATGAAATCAAAAATAGAAACATCTGGATGTTGCTAAGCTCATGAGTGCATGACGACACGGCTTCTGATATCAAAAAAAGGGCCATCGAACATTCGGAGAATGCTTTCACAAAACAACAAAAGTCTTCCTTGGGCAGCTTCAAAAAGGCTTCACGCAGATGGACAGCACCATGGCGGTAATATTTCTCCGCAAGCTGCATACAAAATGGCTTACAAAGCATTTCAATGAGCGCAGCATTTTCGAGCTTATCAATAGAGAGGCCAAAACAGGGCGAAAAAACATCCAATAGGTTTCTGAACAAACAAGTGCGATCCAATTGCGGCAAAAATGGCCGGATACGGGTATCGTCGACAACGAATCTAGCGGGCAAGTGCAGGAAAAGAAGCTTGCCTTCCTCGGAGATTGAAAATGCATTGAGAAGCGGCATTCTGCTAACAAAGCCATAAAGAATCAAACACGTGACGGTATCGCTTGAAATATTTTGGTTTGAAACGACACTGAAAAACAGGCTCTGCGGCGAAGCCAGAGCTTCCGAATAAGCAAACGGACTCACCTGAAGCGTAACAAGGAAAAATACAAAGGAAATCTGAGGCGAATTTTCGGCTGCAAATAGAAGCTGATCATCCAACAGCCTGTTGATGGGCGAGGGTATTTTTCTCACCAGACAAAGACGCGAGGATTCATCGGGATGTTTCAGAATGTATGCGATTCGCAGGTAATACAAAAGGATTGCAGAGTACATATTTTGCACGTCAAAAAAGGAAACAATCGCCGACACAACTTGGTACGAATCGATATCGCTTTTCGATTCCTTTTGGAAAACCGCAGCAAATCGTCTGAAAATAACAAGGCAAATATCAGGCCATTCAAGCTCAACAAAATACGACTCATCGATGTCAGATACTTTCTTTGGTGCGTCAAAGTAGGCGTTGGATAAAAACGAAAAAAAAGGCATTGAAGATTTTGGAGCAGCGCGAGAACTCACGATATACGTAGCTAGCCTATAAAAATCGATCTTTTCATTAAGAATAGGATCCAATATATCGCCCAAAGAAAGAGCACATCCCAAGCTACAGGCCAAGTCCTGGTTGCCACAAATCAATGCTCGGGCAATTGCAGTGCAATCTTTAGGGCGAGGTAGCTTGGGGCCGTTTGCGATCAAAGTATTTGAAGTCAAATAGTGCAAATACTTTTCAACTGTGTTGACCAGGCACGTAGCATCCAACTCGACCGGCTTTCCAGGTGCGAAAAGTATGCGCAATATATTCAACACGTGCAAAACCATCTTGTCTGTAGCCTCCTCGACCATCAGCAAAAGGTCTTCAAAATTTATTGGCCCATTTTTGCCACAAGAAGAAGCCCCCAAAATATATTTCGGAAAATGCCTCACAAGTAGGCATGAAAAATCGTCAACAAAAGCTGCATTTTCCATGCAAAACTTTCATTTAAAAACAAAGTTTTGCAAAACGTAAACTTCAATGGAAACATCAGGAATATTCCACACATGAACCGATTAAAGACTTTCGGAAAAGCATTTTTTTCATCTGCAGCATTTCCAATGGCCAATCCAACCGTTTTCTTCGATATTACTGCTGGCGGAAACCCGCTTGGAAGAATTGTGATGGAGTTGAGGGCAGATGTGGTTCCCAAGACGGCCGAAAATTTCCGCGCTCTTTGTATCGGCGACAAACCGGGGCTTTCATACAAGGGCTCCTGTTTTCACCGCGTTATCCCAAACTTCATGTGTCAAGGTGGCGACTTTACTAAAGGCAATGGCACTGGCGGTAAATCCATTTATGGCGAAAAGTTTGAGGACGAAAACTTCGAGTTGAAACACACTGGCCCGGGCATCCTTTCCATGGCAAATGCCGGACCCAATACCAACGGCTCCCAGTTTTTTATTTGCACCGCAAAGACCTCGTGGCTTGACGAAAAGCATGTAGTATTTGGAAAAGTCACCGAGGGAATGGATGTCGTTCGAAGCATCGAAAAGTTGGGCACGAGCTCTGGTTCCGTCAGCCCCAAGGTTGTGATCGCCAACTGTGGTCAGCTTTAATCTCCGATTAAATATTAAACTTTTATTTGAGCAGCAGCGTGCGCTCGTTTTGTTTGGCCTCACTGTAACTTTTCCAATAAATGCTTGATTCTGTCCCGCATCACTGGCTGGCCTTTTTTGGTCCTCGATGTGCATAGAAGATGCGATGCCGTTCTTCGCACGTTTGCATCTTCAATCTCCTGTTTCCGCTTGATTCTTTTGTGCTGGATTTCCTACATCGTCAGTTATTGCAAACCCCACCTGCTTTTCCCTCCGTCTCAAGTCAGAGTTTTTCTTTGCCTCATAGAGCGGGTCTGATTTTGCTTTTTTATTGTTATCCTTTACATTTTTTAAAGCGTCAGCATGATTGCCGGGCTCTTGTGGTATTCCGAATATTTTTTTTGCTTGCGCCAATTCCCGCTTCAGCTTGAATTTGTGGTTGTGCAGAATCTTGGCCTTTTCCTTGTGCATGGGAAAAAAAGAATTGGAATTTAATTTTTAAATTTTGTGCTGTTCATGCCACATTGAGCGATAAAAGCCGTTTGGCATGCCCAAAAGCTCGCAATGCGTGCCTTCTTCGATGATTCGGCCAGCATTCAGCACGATGATCTTGTCGGCATGTGTGATCGTTGAAAGGCGATGTGCTATAATCAACGTTGTGCGTCCAGAACACATTTTTTCAAGCTGGAGCTGGATTGCGCGTTCAGAGATCGAATCCAACGAAGAGGTTGCCTCATCTAGAACAATTATTTTGGGATTCTTGAGTAAGGTTCTTGCTATGGCTATTCGCTGCTTTTCTCCGCCGGAGAGCCTGATGCCCCTCTCCCCGACTTTTGTTTGATAGCCTTGTGAAAATAGCTCCTCATGCAGAAGCGCAGCACTGGCAACGCGCTTGATATCATATGGGGAGGCATCTTGTTGGGCATATTTTATGTTGTAAGCAATTGAATCGTAAAACAATACCGTATCTTGCGGTACGATGCCGATGGATTCTCTGAGTGATTTCAACGTTACATTCCGTATGTCTTGGCCGTCGATGCGAATCGAACCAAGGCCTTGGACGTCGTAAAACCGGAACAAAAGCTTTAAAATGGTAGACTTGCCGGCGCCTGAAAGGCCAACCAGGGCCACCGTGCTTCCCTGGGCGACGCTAAAAGATAGGCCTTGAAGAGCCACGATTTCGGAACCAGATGCTTCCTGTCCGCGTGTCCCGTCGGTGGGAACCTCCAAATAATTGAAGTGCACGTTATCTAAATTATCAGCATGCATATGCAATGGAATGCTTACCGAAGACGATTTCGCCTCTTTCGATTTGAAGGGCACAAGCCCCGGGAGCATCTTGTATTTCAATAGGCAATTTTAGGAGCTCCACTATCTTTTCCATGTCAATGTAATGCTGTTGAATGATCCTGTAATATGTTCCAAGGTAATTTAGAGGCATGTACAGCTGGCCAATATATGTCAGGAACAAGATAAGATCACCCACGGACATCTGATCATTCTCCTCAAGTCTTTGAATGGCCAGATAAGAGCCGATGAAAAGGGCCCCGATGGAAATCAGCGAATTTTGCGCCGTGTTCAGAACAATCAAAGATGTTTGGCAAGTCCAGTCGGCCTTCAGATATTGCCTCAATGTTGAGATGTACGAATCGATCTCAAATTGCTCTGCATTGAAATATTTAACAGTTTCGAAATTTAAAAGAGAATCAACGGCCTTGCCAGACACAAGCGCATCCAGGCTCGACATTTGTCGCCGAAACCCAACCCTCCAGCGAGTTATGACAATGGTCAACGAGATGAACAGAAACATCGTGGAAACGATAATCAGGCCAAACCAAATGTCAAAGGTGATGATGAAAAAGAGAACGGCAATCGCCACATCAATTAGCGTAGGCCCGATCGAAAAAATGACCGAATTCAAAAGAGAGCCAATAGAAGTGATTCCCTTGTCCAATTCTTTGATGACTTCTCCGGTTTTCCTCGATGTATGAAACGAATGTGAAAGTGCATGCAAGTGCGAGAAAACCTTTTCCGCAATATGTTCAGTGGACCACTGGCTAACCGGGATCCAGAACAGCTTTTGGATGGACGAAATAATACCAACATTGCCTTGCAGCAGTTTTCCGACCACATAGAGACCCAAAAAGGCGGTGGCAGAAAGGTTTAGCGGAAACTGATTGTCTTCCCTTAAGGAATCAACGAGCATTTTGAAAAAAACAGGAACCATCACGTTTACGAGTCTCCCGGCTGCAATGAACAGCAAAGAGAAAACGATATACATCCTGTATTTCCAATTGCCAGCAGGCCATAGGAAAGGCAAAAAGAAAAGGATTTTATCGTACAGCGAAATGGAGCCCTTTGTTTCGCTAACACATGTGTTCAAGGTGCACTTTTCAAGCAGATCGTGTAGAAAGCCAAAGAAAACCGATAAAACCAGGAAAAAGAAAAGGGTATAAAGATTCCAATAAGCGCCGTATTTTGAGATATCAATGAACTGGCCCTTAATAGGATACAAAATAAGCAGCACAACGACATTAACAAATGACCACACGCTGATCCCAATAAAGACCCTTCGAATCCAAGCGAGCACTGACAAAATGTTGTTCTTGATGGCAAAATTTATCAGCAGCCCATATGTGGGGGATGAGGCGAAAATGGCGATCAAAAGCGCCAGATGATACCTTGGCATCACCCAATGATTGACATAAAAAAGAAAAAGCTCCAACATGGAAAGCGAAAATATGCCGGAAAAAACGAGCATCAAAATCCTTCTGATACGATGCAAGTCTGGACTGTCTCCTTGCAGGGGCGAAAGCGATGCGGGACACGAAAATCCCTTTTCCAGTGCGTCCAGCTCGGTTAAAACGCGCCTCTTCAATAAAAATTGCTCCTCCAATTCATCGTCGCCAAGCTCATTATCAATGTAATCATCCCTTTCATTCTCGAAGGGATCAACAAGCGTTGCCCTTTTAGGTGCGAAAAGATCTCTCACGTCAAATTTCAATGAAAAGAAAAGCAATAAAACAAAAAGAGGCGCCAAGAACACACAAGTGATGGTGGTCTCCACAAAGCAAGGCGAAAAAAAGGTGTGAGAATAAAAGTCCCTAGGTGAGGATGCGCCACAGAAACAAGTGGACATGAAAAATCAAAAATTAAAGTTTGGTTTTCGTTGCTATGGTTGAAGTATCCAATAAAGAGGAAACTGGTAATGAGGAGGACAATTTGGGGGGCCGTGTCTTTTTTTTAAAAAACAAGCCTTTGATTTGGTCGCCAATCGCCGTAATACCATCAGATATCATGTTGGGGATGTTCCCGGAGTTATGGGTAGCCGCACATCCAGATATGTACCTACTGTGTCATCATTTCCCACCTACCTAAGGGCCGCATTCAAGGAGGTCAAATAGTAACCAATAAGCCCGCGATCTACAGGCTGTACCGAGCGATACTCTTCAATGTATCGCAAATGCAGAATCAATTTTGGGACTTTTACCGACTCTGCGAGCGCAATTAGAGCAGGAAAGAAATCATCTGCTCCGTTCCCGTTGGCGGGACACAGTAAAGCCCATTCCTGAAGATAAGTGCAAGAAAAGTAGATCGCTTTCATCTTTTCATACGGGGAATGCAGCCTTTCAAGGCTTACCAGCAACGAACATGCTCGTTCCCACAGAAATTGCGCTCGAGGACTTTGGTGCTTGATGCAGACTTCTGAACTGCGGCGTTGCCTTAATCCATGCTCAAACTGCCGCTGTTCCTTGTGATACTTTTTGGAGATGATCAAGTTAAAGGACCTATAGTGGATTAGCTGGTAAAATCGGGCAATCCGTACATGTTATACACCAAATTTGCCATCAAACGCTCAAAGCATTCGCCCATCAGAATGGTCTTTTTCTCGTCTTGCGTCAACGAGTCTGTTTCATATAGAAACGATGCAATCGATGTGTTCTGCTCAATCCAATCGACCAGCTCCATATCCACTTTGGAGCACAAGAACTGGCAATAAGGCATTGCAATCAATACCTGAATAAAGCGAGAAAAGGAAATGGCGTCTTTGGTGATGTTTCTTTCCCCGTCAACGATGGCTTGTGCTTTCTCCCTGCCCATGCTTTGCGTCGTGGTAAGGAACATCGACCAAGAGGAAAAAATGGATCTAGAGACCGAGGAGGACTCGATTCGTTTCCGGTAATTTTGGCAAAAGTAATCATCTACGAACCTATGATGACCAGATGATATGCAAATAAATTACGTGTCAATCAGCTGCGAAATCCAGTCGCCAATGCCGTCCTCGGCATTTAACATCAATGAAAACCGGTAAAAATTGACTTCGTCAAAATAATTGAGGCGAGAAAATTGGCTTGTCGAAGAATTGGCAGGTGCCATCATAACAACGCTTTTGGTGCAATAGTCCAAAACCTCCAGTGGAGAAAACCAAAGTAGTTGCGCAGGGTAGGAGGGCATGAAGATGTCCTCGCGGGAAGGAGAGGTTGACGTGCTTGATAGGGACGACAAGCTCGAGCCCCTTGATACTGACGAGGCAGATCCCGAATATCCGCCCTTGAGCGAACTCGACAGCGGCGAGTCATCTCTTATTTGCCGCGGTTGGCCTTTGGGAATGATAATCTTTGGGCCGGCGCTGAGAAACGCCGTGCTATTGATAAAGGCAGCATCAAGCGTTGATTTTGCCCCAAACAAAGCATCAACGAACATGCTCTTCATGGAGTCACCGAGGGATATGATCCCTGAAGAGGCCGGAGAGACCTGCTCCTCTATGTCAAAAGACGCATGTCTGTGGGCAGTCTGAACTCTTGGGGATGCCTGGGGCGAGGGAGACGACAATGGCGACGATCTAGGCGACGGCGTAAACGAAGGCGTCATGTGGAAGATTTGTAAAATTTACACCTCCAGTTGACAAGACGTGTAATTGTAGTGAGAAACACGGGATAAATAAATATTCCCAAATTTTAATTGTTAACTTGCAGATCACAAATTTTTATCCAATGTTCAATAACCCCTTTTCCAGGTCAGCCCAGCCCCAGTCGGCAAACGCAACGGCACAAGCAGCGACCACTGGACTTACACCAAACACCGGTGCAATTGTCCCCTTTAACTCACAGCAACCCGTCAGCACTTCCCTATTTGGTGGGTCCACGGGTGCGTTTGGGTCCACTGCCGCCAGTGGCCAGCAAAGCAATTTATTTGGCGTGTCGCCATCGCCAGCTACAACGACGGCCACAGCAACAAACCCGTTTGGCTCTGCATTCCAATCATCTAACCCCTCATTTGGGGGAGCCGGAGCTACCCTCGCTGCACAACCGGCAACTTCGGCCACCGCCAACCCTTCTTTCGGATCTGGCTCCTTTGGCTCAGCAGCACCATCGAGTTCGCTGTTTGGTGGGTCTTCCTCAAATACGACCCAAACATCATTGTTTGGGGGCTCTTCGTCTTCAGCTGCGGCGCCAACCTCGCTGTTTGGAACGGCATCCACGTCTACTACAACGCCGTCTCTCTTTGGAATGAATGCTTCCTCAGGGACCGCCCCAAGTTCTGCATTTGGTGCAACATCAAACGTTGCGCCATCTTCCACATTTCCTGGGAGCAGTATTTTCGGCTCTGCGCCCTCTTTTGGATCTGCTTTTCCAGCATCTTCTACGACACCTAGCGCCCCGGGATCCGGGTCCAGCTCTATTTTTCAAGTGTCTGGAAATACTCCAGCATTTGGCACGACCTTTTCTCAGCCGACAGCATCATCGTCTTTTTCTCAGCCAGCTTCATCAACATCGTCTTTTTCTCAACCAACATCCTCAACGTCATCGTCATCATCGACATTTCAACAACCGACGCCATTTGGAACCACATCCTCAACCCAGTTTGGCTCGTCCGCATTTAACGGTGGAACGACCATGTCATCTTCAGTGCAACCTTCTCTTTTTGGCTCTTCGATGACATCTTCGGGTAGTGTATTTGGGAATGCAGCACCCCAAACTTCGTTTGCAGGCCAAACGCAATCTTTTGGTAGCGGTGCCGGGCTTTTTGGGTCCTCAACCTCTGGTACACAACCATCTCAGTTCCAACCGCAGCAGACAACTAACCTTTCTTTTGGCAGTTCTACCTCTTCGCTTCCTTTTGGGGCAACCCCTTCTCTTGGGACTGGAAACCCGCCATACACAACTACAACTGATACCGATAATCAAACTACACTGCATCTGCAAAGCATATCGGCGATGCCTGCATATATCTCAAAATCGGTTGAAGAGCTTCGCCTTGAAGACTATCATCGTGGTAGGAAGGCGCCTGGTTACGGATCTCCAGGCGTAACAACCCCTACGGCCACTACGCCGTTTGGTATTGGATCTACTCCATCTCCCTTTGGCGTTGGGGCGCCCTCTTCTGGCTTTGGAACTACTTCTGGCTTCGGATCTACTTCATCTAATCAACCTTTTGCAAATACATCTATGTTTGGAGCAGCTGCCACTCAACCAACAACGTCAATATTTGGAACTGCATCCCAGCCTGCTTCTTCAGCTAACACGACCGGCTCGATGTTTCCATCAGCATCATCTACATCTACCACGCCATTTTCAACTGCCCCTCTGCAACCTGGAGGCAATACCGTCTTTCAACCGACACCGTTCCAGCCAACGAATACTTCTAGCTCAATATTTGGTTCATTTCCCACCACATCTGCGCCCGCAGCAACCGCACCGTCCTCATTTGCTACCACCACCCCATTTACCTCATCGACACTCGGTACTGGAGGGATGTTTGGACAGCAAACACAGCCACAGCCCCAGCCGCAAACACAACCTCAACAAACTGCATCCTCGTTCCTTGGGTCTACATTGTTTGGGGCTGGACAACAACAGCCCTCGTCCGCCACAGCAACCACACCATCCACATTAGGAACTGGAGGCTCATTTTTCCAGAACCAGATGCCATCCTCTGGATCTTTATTTTCTCAGCCACAACAACCAACAAGCACTATGACTTCTTCTTTGAATGCTCCAGGAATGGCGTCATTGGGAGCTCCTGTAACTGCAGCACCTAGCACCACACCTGCTCCATCAACATTTTCCTTCCAATTACAACCTTCAGGGGCCTCAGGCCAACCGTCAAGTCTACCTTCATTTACATCAACAAATAATCGTCCTTTGACAACCAGTGGTACTGCTCCATTGACACCATTTACCCAACCATGGTCAACGCCGGCAATGATGTCTTCTGCCACTGGAGGCACTCCAGTGTCTCTTCAGACACCTGGGGCTGCTAACATGACACCTAAAGCATCAGCCCAATTTGGTCGGCACCCCTGGCTTGATGCGCCACCAACACCGACAGCCTCAACCCCTTTATTAACAACCACATCAATGCCAAAAGCGACCTCCTCAATAGGCATGCAGTCGAAGCTCGGAAAATCATGTCTTTCTCAGCCGTTAACATCGTCAAGTCTTACTCAACAGTCAACATCCTCAAGCCTCAACCAACAGTCTTTAGCCTTTCCCAATCTAAATGGCTCTGGAAAGGTTTCGCTGATCTCCAGCAATACACTTAGGCAATTACACCCAAATCTGCCATCTTTGTTTCCTTTGCTTTCCGTTAAAAAGTCATTGAAGACACTTGTAGTTGATTTTAATGAAGACCGCAAAGACTTTACCCCGAGCATTACAAACCGGTTTAACGCCGAAAACCGCAATAGCCTCGAAAAGAACGGAAATTTGGGGGATTTCCATGTTCTCGGTACTCAGGGCTCTCCTCCTGAACATCTTAATTTCGATAATTCTCAAGAAAGCGTCCTAAGTGGGTCCAGAAGCAGGGTGCAATCACTTCCTGGCGGCTTCTATATATCACCACCTGTGACGGAGATCATTGCAGCTTGTATAAATTCGAAGGTCCCTCTTACGATCAAGGAATTTCTTTTAGGTCGAAAACATTTTGGAGATGTCTCTTTTTTGTCCCCTGTAGTAGACATCGCGTCGTTCCTGCCCGTCACAGACGAAAAATCATTTGTTCTTCGGTTGTTCGGGAAAGAGGCCGTTTCTTCTGCAGATACACATTTAGAAGAAGATGATGATGATGAGGGAAATGAAAACAATCCGATTGTATCATTTGGGCCTCGATCGATTACTATATATCCCGAGGGTATGGAAAAGCCGCCAGTAAATATTGGTTTTAATCTTCCGGCACGTATTAGGCTTGAGGGATGCTATCCGCGGAGATCCCATGACTCAGATAACCAGATCCACGAATCTTCAGTCCTAGATGCATTTGTAAAGAAACTGCGATCGGTTCCAGGAACCACGTTCCTCTCTTACGAAGAAACCACCGGGCTTTGGGTGTTTTCGGTAGAGCACTTTTAGGAAATATTTTAAAATAAATTGTAGGCACAGTACAAAAATGACCCCTAATCTTATGGGCGAAAAGCGGCCAATTGCAAGTCAGTTGATATAGTCAAATTTATGGCGTCACTGGGAGAGCCTACCGCGCCAGTGCAGTAGCCATGAGCCGAGAGCGTCGACGAATAAGCAGCTGCCAACGAATGCAAGCCAACACAGACCTTGCAATGACCRGAAATGAGGATACTGTAATTTTTGTCGATGCCCTTGTGGGGGACATCAGACCTGGGGTTGGCGATAGCACACCATTGGGGATGGATTCGCTCAATTGATCTAACAAAGACAGCAAAAGTAGCTCGTTGGATCGCAGGCAAGTAACTTCAAGCACAAGATATCTTTTTTGGAACACAAGGTCAGATCGATGGTCCAGCTCAAATCGGCACCTCTCTTTCCAATATGCAGCTGATTTGCTCTCCGAACGCATCGAAAGCTCGTTTGAAAGAGATGCAACTCTTGCCAAGTTTTGCGCCGACTCTCTAAGAAGCACTTTTTTCTCGTCTTCTGCAGTACGCAGGGCAATTTCTAAAGCCTGCACGCGCTCGTTGAGCATGGACGAAGAAGACGTGGGTGCCGGAATTGAAGATACTGGTATCTGATATCTAGAATGGGATTTGCAATCCAAATGAGAGCCATGTTCCGAGTCTGGCTGGCAACGAACGGCCTTAAATATTCCAAAGCTGAAGAGAAAAACGGCGTTTGAAATTCTTTTCAAAACCTTTGCCAGCAGTACGGGAAGCGGTACCGGATTTTGATTGTTGGCTTTGAGAGTGAGGAAAATTTCATGGATCATAGTGGATATTTTGGCATCAACAACGGACAGGAAGAGATCAATGGCCTGCTTTGGAGAATGAGGTTTGGAGCTTATTCGAGCATCTATCACCTCTATCCAAGAAAGTGTGTCATCGGACAATAAATCGCTGATGGCTGTGGTAAAGGCCTCTGGATTGATATCGGATAGGGAGTTCTTGATGAATCCTGAAAGCGATTCGGTGTCGTCAAAGATTTTTTCAACATGCTCATTAAAATCGGTCGAAGAAAGAATGGTAGAACACTCTTCTAATAGCAAGACGCCGTTTGAAAGCTCTTGTTTGTCCTTCACCATCTTGTGTGATTTTTCCTCCAACGCAAGAAAGCCGTCTTTAAGCGCATTAAATTCGCCAAGCAGACGGCGGTAGCTCTCTTCGCTTGATGCCAATTGAGATTTCAACTGGTCAATGGCAAATTGGCTCTCTTTCTTTAGGCTTTCATTTTGCATGTTTGATTGGTCAAGTAATTGTTTGCCCGTGTTCTGAGCAAATATCCTGTCTTCTTCTGCCTTTTGTAGAGCCTTGGTTAGCACGTCTATTTTCTCATGCTCCGCCTTCAGATGTGAACATATTGCAGAGATGTTTTTTTCTAGTTGCGATGCGAAGCCCTTCCAGCGTTGAAAGGACTTCAAATGCCGAATAAAGGTGAACTTGCCCCTTCCCGAGCTCACCCCTGTTGGTGTAGATTCGTTTTCCAAATCTTCTTTTTCTTCGGTGAAAGAATCTGTCTCTTGGTGTCCCGGGACCTCAGCATAAGATAAGCTAGAGAGATCAGACGCCGTGTCAAACGAATTGGGCAAGCTTGAAGTGCTTTCTTTGTGTTGCGAAATGTTGCATGATTCCTCATTTGATTTTGGCTCACTGGGTTGTTCTGAAACGGCCAGCAAGGGAAGCGAAATTTCAGCTTGCTTTTCCGAAGTCGATGCGAGCTTTGACAACATCCTTCGGAAGCTTTGGGAAAGCACACTGGTGCGTCTGTGGCTAAACCCAGGACTTCTGAACGGACGAAGTGGGCTGGTAAGGTTTCTTGGTTTAAGGGGAGAGCCCAATAGGTGGCTTTTGTTCCCCCTTTTCAGAGGCGCAGGCGATCTCTGCATTACCTGATCTTGGAATATAAAACTTTCATCGTTATCTCCCTCGGCCAGTGCTTTGGATTTTAACAAGCTTTGCTTTTCTTGCTCAAATTGCGCGAGAGCTAATTTGAAGAGCTCCACTTTTTCTTGTGGCAAAGATTCCTGCTTCTCGCTACAATGAGGCAGGCGCTGTTTTTGGCTTTCAAATAAAGACTTTTCGGCAACGAGCTTAGACCTCTCCGCCTCAATCGATTCCGACTGTGCCAATAATGACGCCTCAATGGCAGACTTTCTTTCTTCCAAAAGAGATGCGAGCGAAGCTAACGCCTCTTTATCGGCCTCTAAAGATGCGCGATCCGCATCAATGGTTGCTTTCTTCCTTCTCAAGTCTTCGGAGGCCGCTGATTGTGCTGTAGATCTACCTATTATGTTGGCCTCCTCTTCTTTTGTGCGTATCAAAAGTGCTGCTTCCATACTTGCTAGAACAGATTCTCTTGAATTGAGCGCGTCTATTTTTTCCTTTTCCATGCGATTAAGAAGAACCTCCCTTTGAAGAAGTTGCTGTTCAAAGTCTTCAAGTTGTAGCGATAATGCGTTAAGCTCGCTATCCTTCAGCTCTATATTATTTATATAATCGGCGTTTTGAGCAACAATTGCCAAGTGTTCCTGGAGTTTGTTGATTCTTTCATCTTTTTCCAGCAGCTGGCTTTCATAGTGTTGAGTAACAGATGAGATGTCATGTTGGGCAGTTAGCAAAGAAGACTTTTTAGCTTCAAAATCAGCATGAAGATGGTCCTTTAAACTATCAAATTCCGATTGAAGATATTGTTTCATCGACTTCACTTCTAGCTCAAGATCGGTAGCCTTCACATTAAACGAGCTCTCCAGAATATTGTTCCTCGTTTCGAAAATATGTTCTAGGTCTTTGCGCTTAGATTCCATTTCACTTTCCAATGCTGACTTTTTGTCTTGATATTCCCATTCAAGATTTCTTCTTTTATCTTCAACCTCGAGTTCTAACTGTCTCAGCTTTGAATCGAGCAAATGCTGTTCTTCTTTCGAACGCTGTGGATCACTTGATTGTGCACCAAATGAGAGCTGCATTTCGAGTTCTCGGACTTGTTGCTCAAGAAGGCATATTTTTTCTTCGTTTTCGAGGATCAACTTTTGTAATTCGCTAGTGTCTGGTGCACTCTCCTGTCGCTCCGTTTGAGCGGTAAAATTTTGGTGTTTAATTCTCATTTCAGACTCAAAATGTTCTCTTTTCAACCTCAATTCTTCTTCAAACGCTCGCTCCCTTTCAGATCTTTCCAGTTGAGCGGAAACTCTCATGTCTTCGATTTCTTTTTTCTCCAATTCAGCCATAAGTCTCCGATTTTCTGGTTCTAAATTAGGCCTCATGTCTTCGAATTCGATCGAATCTTGATGCGAATGGGCTGCAGAAAAATCGGCAGCCGGTGCTTGATGTTGGTTTACGTGGTCGACACGTGAAGAAAGCTCTTTTCTTTGGGAGAGGACAAATAGGCTCCAAGATGCCTGGTCGACTTTGTTTTGCAATTTGATCCATTCATCTTGGAGATTTTGCAATGCTTCTTCCCATGCTTTCAATGATTCTTCCTTGTATGCCGAAGAGCTTTCAATGGCAAGGCTTAATTGCGATTGCTTTTGTTGGGTTTCAAATTTTTCCTTAAGAGCTGAATATGCAGCCCTCAGAGAATTGTATGTCGATATCAGCAAATTGACATCTTTTGAGATAAGCCTCAAAGGCACCTCCAACGCTTCTGCGTCGAGAGCATAGTTTTCTGGCTTGGCTTTATCTCCATCGTTGTCTAAAATATTAGTTAGATAACGATGAATAAAGAGAGCAGCCATCGGTGATAGCTGGGCAAGTTTATGGCAACCTTGCATTTTGGCAAGGTCGTCCATAAGAATTGAATTTGGGATCAGATCTTTGGTAAGAAAATGTAATGGACCAAAGGGGGCAAACGCGTGATAACATACAAAAAGGTAATTAAAGATGGAAAGGTGACGTACCATTTTTGGGGTCGACCGAATCTATTGAGGAGTGCATCAGATAGTGTTTGAAAGCCGAATCGTCGTTTCTGGAATGAGAAGCGATATCAGTCGGTGAGGACAAAGCCATGCCTATCGGAATTGTAAAATTTAATGGCGCCTAAAATTTAAACTGCATTTCGAGAATGTATTTTAACGGCCCATCATTTGAATTTATTTCCTGGATGTCTTTTGCTTCAGCTTTTCCATGTTAACCAACAGGCTTTTATACGGGTGGGACTGCTTTGAATATGCTCCGGACTGGTCAATCTAAATTATCTAAGCCTGCATGAAAATACCTCCTTAGATTGCGGAACAATAAAATGAAGGCGAGAGTCCGACAAGTCTCTTTGAGAAGGCGCGCTCATGACCCTTGATAGATCCTTGTAGTTCAGAGAATGTCCTATTATAGGCCGACTCCATTTATCTTGGAAAAAAACACTCGAAAATTACCAATGAGCTTATATGCAAGCTTCTTGTTCTCCCTGGTCTCGTCTGGCGATTTGTAAAGATACATGACAACCTTTCCCAGGCCACTTTCTTTCAAATGGATTTTTTCTATAGGCAGCTAAGTCAAGCTATGAAAGCATTGTATTTACTTGCGCGAGGATGTGCAAAATGCTTTTCCGAACATCGATACTTGGTAAGGACCCATCCGGATATGGCTCAAGCCACAGCCTTATTGCATCCAAAATCCGATTGTCCAAAAGATAATCGATCAGGTCACGCCTATGATTGGAAATCAATAAACGATAAAACCTTGATAGCTTTTCCAACACTTCAGGCAGAATTGAAATTTTTTGTGTAGCCACCTTTTGGTTTGAAATGCAATAAGAGTCTTGCGAAGCAGCCGTTTGCATGCGATCGATAAGATGTGCAGCCTGGCTATCTAGCTCTGTTTCCTCGTCAAGGCCCCGTTTGCGTCCCCTCGATGGAACGGCTCGACGAAGAGCTTCATCAAAATCACGCCTAACTTCTGCAATCGCTGGCGATTCTGAAGACGAGCTGTCTGGATCAGCAGGGCTACTGTTCTTCTTATGGCTGGAGCCTTTTTTGTGGCTGGGATGTTGCCTTTGCGACTTTGGGCTTGCATTTCCGGTAAATTCTGTATTGTCAATCCGTTCTGATCCCTCCTCATACTATAGTTAAATGACGATCAGCCGATCAAGTACCTCGGAACTACCTATCAAAAGAGAGAAAAGGGCCCTTTGTACCTGAACTATCCATTTGTATGCAAAGTAAAAATAAAAATTTAATACATTACCCTAATGGCCTCTGCTGTTTTGGCAGCCTCCCTTGGCGTTTACAAGCCAATCACGCCAATAATCACAGAGGTAGGATCCTCCCAGGAATGTCAAATTTTTCTTGAGCCCGGACAAGCTATTGCAATTGTTGGATATGGGTACATCACCGTCAAAAGCGGAGATGTCGAATGTTTTGGTGCTCGTATTAATGCTTCTCACGGAAAAATCACCTTTTTTTCTCCAGAATGCTATTCGCTGATGGTCTTTTCAGCACCCATCGCATCATCTTGCTTGATTAGCTTGTGTGAGGGAAATATTAAGTGGAGACAATTGACGTCTTTTTTGGACCTGAAAGATATTTGGGGAGATGGTGGGTTCCTTTCAACGCTCAAAAGCAAATGTTCGGAAATCTATTCGATCTTTGAAGGACTGCACGCGATCTCCTTATCTGAAGAGTCTATCAATACTGGATTTTCTTATCTTTCTCCCATGCCTCTTTGGAAAGATCTTTCTGGCTACCTTGGATCTCTTAATCCGCTTTCTGTCGTTGTGTTTGGATCCAAAGGAAGCGGAAAATCTACATTTCTCAAATATTTGATAAACTCGTCTTTGTCGCAACATCAAGTAAACGCTTGCTCGACCCCACGTGCATCTGGTGTTTTACTTATGAATCTTGACTGTGGCCAAGCCGAGCTTGGACCACCGGCCACAGTATCTCTTTTTCACATCGACAAATTTATCCTTGGACCATCGTTTGCCACTCAATGCTCTCACATTCATCAAGAGTATGTGGGTGTCATTTCTATTGCAGAAAATCCAAAGGGCTATCTTCACGCAGTCGAGAGGCTGTGCAATTTTTTACACAAAAAAGCACCAAAGGGACTGCCTGTATTTGTTAATACTATGGGGTGGACCACCGGCCTCGGTCTGGAGTTATTCAAGTGCACAATTAACTTGGTCCGACCATCAACGATAATCCCGTTGATGGAAAGCGTCACAAGTGCGGAAGACCTTTCATCTAGCACGCTGGTGAAGGAAGCTGTGCAAAAGCTATCCTCTACATTGTGTGAACCGCCTCGATTTCGCACCAATTTCTCGATTTCCTCTGTGCCCATTTTGCCGACAATTCTGCCAACTTCAGCTATCTCAATCGCAGCAGGCAGGTATTGACATATCAGCTTTTAATGATAGCCAAATTTCGAAATACGCTCCAAAAGAACTGAGATCTCTGATCTTGCTCTCGTATTTTAATCTCGGTAGAGACAAATTTTCGCCGGTATTCTGTATGACTCCACTAAGCGTTCCCTTTTCCCGTCTCAAAATGATGGAGCCTTCAAAAGCGCCTTCTTTCAATTGTACCGTCGTGGGGCTTTTCGATAGATTAGTTCTGCTCAGTTTAGGTTGGTTGATGTTTTAAAACTTGTCTGTAGGCTTTATTAGGGCGGTCGATGTCGAAAATCAACGATTTCATCTCGTAATTCCAACAATTTTTGTAGATATCGTAACACAAAGGTTGAATTCAATTTCTCGGTCCAAGCTGAACATTCATCCAAAAGAATACTGTGATGTAAGTTCCATGCATATAATCATACATCATTAGGCATTCACAAAATCCGCTCCAACGCTTTTCAACGACCATATAACGATCCAAGGGGGTTCCGTAAGAAAAGCCCGACATACCATTTTGCGAAAACGGCCGGTTTAACAATTCATTAAATTTATGTATTAAAATTAAAATTTTCAATATTTTAAATTTCAATGGCCAAGAGAGGTATTGATTCATTTCACCATTTCTACCTGTTTTCATCCATTTAATGGGATGGCTTTTTCTGCTCACTTAAGCCCTGATTGCCTTTGTTTCTTGATATTTGTTCCTTACCTTTAGCGACCGGACAATCTGGCGGTAAATTCCGTGTAACACTTGCTCTTCCCGTTGGTGCCACAATCAATTGCGCAGATAATTCTGGTGCTAAAAACCTGTACCTCATCTCAGTCAAAGGAATCAAGGGTCGTCTTAATCGCCTTCCCTCTGCAGGCCTTGGTGATATGTTTATGTGCACCGTCAAGAAAGGAAAACCTGAACTCAGAAAAAAAGGTACCTACTTTGGCTCAACATATGATCATCATGATCTCCTTTTAATTTAATTTTGTTTTATTTTCATGGTTCTTACATTTTCTTTCTTCTAGTATTGCAGGCTGTTGTTATCCGTCAACGAAAGCACTTCAGAAGACGCGATGGTGTGTTTATTTATTTCGAAGATAATGCCGGTGTTATTGTCAATCCCAAGGGAGAAATGAAAGGATCTGCAATCACTGGTCCAGTCGCCAAGGAAGCCGCTGATCTTTGGCCAAAGATTGCATCTGCAGCTGGCGCTGTTATCTAAACAATAAACATATATTTTATTGGATTACTCTGATCTACTTTTTTCCTGTTCCAAAACTAGTGCCGAGTGAACTATTGGGATTCCAAAAACCTTTACTGGAACTCCTGTTCTGGCAAGAGGAAGGAAAATGGATTTGATATTTTCCTCCGTAGCATAAGATGCTTTCCTTTGAGGGTGCAAGCGATGCCTCATGATGCTTGCTGGAACCCTAACGATGTCCCCTACAGTTACAACAAAGCAATTATGCACCTTTATTTCCAAGATTTTCTACATTTGTCATCAAAATTGCCTCTGCAACTCGGACATAAAACCGAAAGGCACAATACGGCGATGACAACCGAAATGACGCCATAAAGCAAGAGAAAGAATTTATTAAAATTTAATTGCGGGGATTTTCTAAAATTCGTACCCGGTAAAATCCTAAAATCGAGCAAAGGAAGTATACCCAAAAGTCGCAAAAGTGATCAAAGGAAGCCTGATGGTGCCCAACTTTTCCCTCGTCAAGGTGCATGACTGGGCCAAATTGGGCTCTGGAATTATTGAACGAATAAATAAATGGCTGCCAATTCATTTTGAATCTTGACCCGGGAAGATAGACCCCATCATTAATGTCTCCTAAGGTTATGAACTTTACCTGGTCCAAATACATACCATTTGCGAAAGAAAGAAATTTCGACATTATGAACAAACTGAGGTCTGCTTCTGATTTTCTGAATTTAAACTAACAATATAAGCGTCCCTGACGATTACCATCCTATCAAAGGGATTTGTAAACCATTTGCTCTCAGAATTTCTACTTGTTAAAAAAGAAAATACTCTCGTGGAAAATGAGACAAGGAGGTCGCCCAGTCCCATGGAAGCCTCTAAAGTGATCATTCGCGTAGCTACATTTGGGATGGTATGGAAAAAATATGGAACATCAAAAAAATGGCAACTTTTGCCTTCACTGCAGGGCCCTTTACATAAGAGTGCTAAACTTACCAAAGTTCAAATATCGACCTGGCTGTGCAAGCTCATAAAAATAGATGCTTGAGTTAACAAAAGCGAGCGACTTTGAGACCTTTTGAGGATGAAACCACAGTTTATACCTTTAAAGATGCACAAAAGAATCCACAATCCGATATGATACGTAACAAAGTTTGGAAATTATCATTCCAGTCATCGGAAGAGGGATATTTCTGCAACACTACATTGGCATGCTCTTGGAACACACGGTTCATCAGTTGGATATATCCATCTTGAACGAATACCTCTCTTAGCATTGGAAGAGCCTTTAAAATTGGAAAGATAAACGCCTCCGTAAAAAAGGCCTCATCACTAAAGGTAAGAAAAATAAAAATTATCTGTAAAACCCACCGTGTGACGCCGATTATCAATGGAATCGATACTGGAGACTTTGAAAGCAACTCCATGGGCTGGCCAGTAAACAAAAGGTTGTCAATAACCGGTCCCCACTAGTATGTCATGGACATGAGTTGTTACTATCAACAGATCTCCAAAAATACGAGAATTTAAATGGACCTTTGACATTATCTTGGATTGATGATATAAAATTGCCGTGATTGGCTGCTTCTGTAAACAGGCTAGGTCATTTGGGGCACAGTCGAGTTCTAATGATAACCATTTAGGCTGGGGTTACCTTTACACAGCAAGTCTCCAAAAACTGCAGCCTCAGATAGGCTTTTATAGTGCGCTGCAAATGGATTGCTCATTATGATGGCTTTTTGAAAAAGGTTTTTTATGTCTGCATTTTTGCTGGAAACCAGAAGCTATAAAAAAAGACAAGCTTATGTAGAAAATACCCCAATCGACATTGCACCGGCACTTTCTCCAATAAGAGTTATATTGTCTGGATCGCCGCCAAAACTTTTGCATTAGCATATTCAGAATTACTTGATAATATTTGCCTTTACCCAGTTTATGGCTGCAATTTGGTCTAGAATCCCCAAATTGGGAGAAACGCTATTTCCAGAGGTGTACTGATGATCAGCGGATGCTAATTTAATACCAAAAATCCCAAAGAGCCGAGACGATAATTAAAAGAGACCACGATTGCTCTTCGATGTTTGACGATGTTTCTCGCATCGTACAAACCAAACTGCCAGGAATTACCGATCAAGAAGGCCCCGCCATAAATCCAAATCATTACAGGAAGCAGGTTTTTTGGTGGCATGGCACTGGGTCGAAAGACGTTTAAATAAAGGCAATCCTCTGTGAAAGAATTGATGGGATCAAATAGCTGGGGGCATGCAGGTGGGATTTTTGTAGCCAGGAAATCGATACCTGGATCCCAAAAGCTTCCTGTTGACATGAGATTATGGAAATCTACCTTTAGTGTCTGGAGGCATCCAACGCCTGGACCCGACCGGTGGATGTGCATACGGTATTCTATATTAATAAAAGTGCCGTACCCGAAAAAGATGTCGACTCTTTCTTCACTAGTAATGCCGAAAATATCTCCGTATTTCCCACATGAGACTTTTGAAAACGCATGGAAAAAATGTAATTTGGGCATATACGAGCTGAAAAGATAGCATAACAACAAGGACAGGAAGATTCCGAGCTTTAGCATTCCAGCAATTTAAGTGATATTAAATTTCGCTAAACTCGAATCAAGTCCAAGTAAAACTCGAGCAAAATTCAAATAAAATTCAACCAAAATTCAAGCAAAATTCAAAAAATGTCCCCAGTGCCATCCGACGACTATCCGACCCTATCGATTTTGCCAGAAGATTATGAGATCGGGGATGCAATAGGTACCTGGTATTGAAATCCCAACATTAGGTTTTGGATCTTCGGCAATAGTTTACATTTCCACGTTCAAGCCTTTGCAGAAAATCGTCTCCATCAAAATGATTGACCTGGATCGTTTTGAGCGCAATCAAATTGACGAATTGAGGGTACAGTTTTTTCATGTAAAGTTTTCTAGAAAGAAATCCAAGTTATGAGCTTATGTCGCCATCCAAACTTGCTTCCCATTCTTACAACGTTTGTTCACAAAACAAAGCTATGGATTGTCACTCCATTCCTTTCTGGCGGTTCGTGCCTCGACATCATAAAAGGATACTTCCCCACAGGGTTTGAGGAATATGCGATTGCAACGATCCTCAAGCAGGCTCTTCAGGGATTAGCATATCTGCACAAATCTGGACATATCCATCGTGATGTAAAGGCGGGAAATCTGCTGATCGACAAACATGACGGAACTGTGAAGCTAGCGGATTTTGGCGTTTCGTCCTCTTTCTTGGAGGACGGAGAAAGGCAAGGAATTAGGAAGACTTTTGTGGGTACTCCTTGCTGGATGGCTCCGGAGGTTTTATTGCGCTTCTTATCCCATAGGTCATGGAAATGGTTTGGCAATAATAGCTTCCTAATTTCAGACGGAAGGATACAATTCGAAAGCAGACATTTGGTCTTTTGGCATTACAGCACTGGAATTGGCGCTTGGAAGTGCTCCATTTTCTAAATATCCGCCGATGAAGGTTCCTATTTTGCCTTATTATAGGTGATCTACATGACTCTGACTAATCAACCACCTTCTCTGGACCGGTCAAAGACCAAGCATAAATACTCCAAATCGTTTAAGGACATGATAGACTCATGTCTGGTTAAAGATCCCTTAAAAAGGTTTGTATCTTCCGTTAAAATTTACTTTTTCAATTCCAATGGCAGCCAAATACTAACGCAAAATAGGCCTACGGCCGAGGTGCTGTTGAAGCACTCTTTTTTTAAATTAGCCAAGAAAAATTCGTATCTTTCCTCGGAAATTCTCAACTCCATTCCCTCAGTCAATGAGCGCAACACTTCAGGCCAAAGGAAAAATGCGGAATACACCACTTTAGATATTCAAAATGCTCTCGATGAAGACCATTTGGCTCTCCAAAGCCACATTTCGATCAACTCTAGCGATAGAGAGGTGGCTACAGGCCAGAGTTGGGATTTTAGGTCTGAAATAGAAGATTTTGCTAATGACGACAATTCTGGTCAGTACTTTTCGGATTCAGAGTCTCTCATAGGGAGAGATGGCTGTGCACAAGCCCCAAATCCATATCCCTCTTCTCAACTCTCTTTACCGATTCCACTAACGCACCCGTGTTCACTTTCATTGAGGGAATATATTTTGCTAGAATCTACGGATCCATCCTTCGATGAAACATCAGCCTCAGCTCCTTCACGAAATTCTGAAATTAAAAAGGGAAGATTTAGCATTTTGGAGGCAGCAGCCTCCTCTTGTTCTTTGTCTCCAACATCATCGGCAAACATTAACTTTTCAGTTAAATCTGTCCCAGTCGAATCTGATTCTTTTGGTACCGAGGAACTAAGAACACTATTATCCGATTCAAATATAGCATATGGCAACAACGAAGCTTCAGATTCGATCAATTCTTCGTCTTCATCGACAGAATCTACCCTATTTAGCAAGGATGATGACAGAAAGCTTAGACAGGATGGGGGTATTGACGGGTCCTCAAAAAGCAGATTTACCAAAGTAAATGAGGGTAGCAATGATAGCGAATCACCGCAAACTACGATTACCTCTGTTGAAGAATTGGTTGTTCTTATCAAGGGCACACTGAACATATCATCTGACACCGAGTTACAAAATCTCCGGAGTATTATTTCAAGAAAAAACATATCGATTTCGACAAAGGATTTTGAAAAGGATTGTGACCAAAGCGAGGATTCTAGAGTTTGTAATGACATTAACAAATCGCTTTTTATCAAGCTGGTACATTTTTTTATTTACTTTTAGAAAACCGTTCGCGATCAACTTTCATTGTTTATAAAAGAGCTAGATAACCAAGAAGCAGGTCATGTGTAAAAGTTGTGAAAAATTAAATCGAGGAAATAAATTTGAACATTAAAGTGTCAAAGTTGATTGGCCTGGCGTTAAGGGTTAAAACATTAAAGCTGTTCATTGCGATCTCAGATGCTTCTCTGCGTCAAGCCGAAAAATAAGCAATATATGGCTTGAGTTGAAGTATCTTATGGGGTCCGTTGATCCCAAAACCATTTCAGTTTAAATTTAATTAGGTTAAGCCATGCTGGGGTTGGATTGCGTTGTGAAAAGCCCATAATAGGCTACCAGGTCCTGATGAGGCAGCCAACACCAATATGCAGACAAATTGCACTCAATTTGGGGAGCATTTGAACGCGATACCTTTCAAATATTCACCTAGAATCACACACATAAATACAACTTTTTGATTAAGGCCACGGTCTGCCAACCTCAGTTAATTTATAGACCCTATTTTGTCTTTGCCTCGAATGATCTTGATCCGCGGGATTGTTTAGCATCTTTTCAGTCCCTGATGACTTCAAAAGTTTTCAAAAAAATTTTAACCTCATTTTTGGTGTTCCAAAAGGTTTTACTGCGATTTTGGAGTTTCATTTTCGCTTCGAATGTCGTTAGATTTCGTCACAGAATCTTTAATATCGCTTTTCCCTTCAGATGTTTTTTAATTCGTTCATCAAGCTCCGATTTTTTCCTTTAGCAGCATCCGCCATCTTTCTTTGACCAATATGATAACTTTGGTGTTGGGTTCTATTCTCTTTAGCCTCATGAGATTGTGTAACCCTTTTGGATGACCTTTTGGGCCCAATAAGCTTCAATTTTTTGCCTTAGATTAGCACCTCATTCAGGGGCTTTTGAATATCATATTTCACACCGACACCTTGCTTAATGATACGATTGGTTTGTTTCATTTTGACAGCATCTATTAAATTCAGTTCCCTTACGAGTTTATTGGCTTTCATGTTTATCGCATTTCTTTACTTTAAGAGAT